ATCCTCAACAGTTCATTCACACGATGTGCGATTTAAGTATGTATCTTTACTTTAGTATGTTTAAATGGCTGTTGATGTACATTTGAGCGCTTTTATTAATAGATCCAAGTTGCATGAATTTGAATGAGTGCTATTTGATGAATTTCGGTTTTCAATCAAGTTGCGTTTGGGTGGCTATTTCATTACAGATGTACTAGAAAGTTGGGTGTTATAATGACAGTTTTCATAATCAAATTTAGGAAAAACGTTAGAAGGATGTGAAATCAAGTCAAGTTTGAACACGAAAATGCCACTGCACAATTTCAAATTAAATGGCCGCAATTACCACTGCTATATTACAATACTGAGACTAAATCTACAGGCGGTGACGTCTGACAAGGTGACCTCTCCTTTTTCCATACCCTTATTTTTTTTCCCTTTTGCAAAACGCGTTTAGCATTAAACCATGATCGTTTTGGAAACCGTCTGGTTGATAATAACACTCTAACTTCTATAACTCTGTTTTGCATTGTTAGAAAGACTTGATACTGCTTCTTTGAAGTGAAATATAGTAAGTACCATGCAATAAGGAGCACTAGAAGACGTAGAATTAGCATTAATTGGATTTGTCTATTAGGTTTCGATAATTTTTTTTTGACTGTTTGAAGTGGGTGCTGATTCCATTACATCTCTGCTGTTTGCTTCTTTGGTTTATTATGTCCGGTAGCTGCTTCTTTGGTCTGTATTTCTGGCGGTTGCTTCTTTAATCTTTGCCTGGTCTCTGGTATCGCTCGTTGTCCGGTTTTTCTAAACTGCTGTTATTGCTACTGGCGTTGCTGCTGTTATTGCTACTGATGTTGCTGCTGCTGCTGCTAATATGGTCCTTCCTGGTCTACTGCGTTTGCTGTATACTTGTTCTCTAGTCTATCTCTGGTGATTGCCTGTACTCTCCTGGTCTGTCTGTGATGGTGAGAAGTGGTAAGTAACTTCTTTGGTCTTTGTCTGCTCTCTGCTGATGGCGTTCATTCTTTAGTTTTTCTATGGTGCTGGTGTTGCTGCTGCTGCTGCTGCTGCTAATATGGTCTGTTTTGGTCTACTGTATTTGGTGCCTGCTCGTTTTCTGGTCTATCTCTGATGATTGCTTATATTCTTCTGGTCTATCCGTGGCTGTGGTAAGTGGTAAGTATCCTTTTTTTCTTGTGGTCGCAATGATATAAAACTTCTCTGGACGTTTGTATTACTGCTTCCTTTCTCGTGATAATGCATTCGTAATGTTTGCTTTGTTGCGCTTTTTTTTCTTTTGTTGGCTGTGATATGATCAGCTCAACGGATGCCTGCAATGTTGTTGCTTCTTATGTATGAACAACAAGCATGATGTGCTACTATATATCTGTATTGCCTTTGTAATACTACTTTGTTATATGGTCGTGGATTGTTGTTTGTGTTGCCTCTGTCGCTTCACATGAAACAACATTAGTCATTATGTTGCATTACACACTTATAATACTGCTGTTGCTCCTGCAACTGTGCGTGTTTGTGTTGCTTTACATCCGACTATTATCATGCACGTTGCTCATGTATGCATTTCTGTTGCAACAACAGCGAAGCTGTTCTGAACATCTTTGATGTTGTGCTTGTTATGCTTTTCTTTGACTCGCTTCGTGTGAGTGTCTCTTCTTTGCTTACATACTACTATACGTCTATAGTACAGTAGCATGTTCTGTTCTTTCATTTCTTTCTTCTATTATGTTTCTTTGAAGCATACGTTTTTTACGTTGTGTGGATGTGCCTATCCCTGAAGCTCAACAAGACTCTATCCGAGACTCGGAGGTGGATAGGCCGCCTTCACTTGGTTATCGCTACTTACTTTAGTGATGGTTGAGGGTCTCAATGCCAGAATTTAAAGCTAGGTGGTGTAAGTAAGGCATGCTCTAGCACCTGAGGGAAGTTTGATGATAGCATCTGCTATATTGATATTATAGCGGCGCTTAAAATTTTGCCTCACATCAAAACAAGGGGAAACCCTCGCAAATTTTTTTTTAGGTTAGCGGAGTTTCCAAGCGATTTGATTGGCTGAGGGGTCCAAACGGCGAAGGGTTTCAACTAGTTGATCTATCACCTAATATAATTTTGTTTTTGCAAAATAAAAGTGTAACCAAATGGATGCAATCTAAAACCTTCTTTGTTCAAAAGTAATATAAGGTGCACTCATTGGATTTATCATCCATTAAATAATTTTATTTGAGGAATGTTTCATTAAATCTCTTATGTAGGGATGATTATACACTCGATACGAATCAGTCACCGAAATGGTCATTGTTTGCTTTTATTTTTAAGAAATTCAAAAATCCCAATAAATGTTTGAATGCTTCAAAATCATAGATCTCGCTACTTAACCTAATTTAAAATTTTAAATGAGTATACATTAAGATCAGGTCAATCGACAAACCAAGTCTCGTCTTTCAGAATGGCAAATTGGTGGTATAGTAAACTGCCGCAGAGCAGGCGTCAAAGAAAGTGTGATCTGCAAGACCGTGAACCTGTCCCCGTCTACGGTAAGCATCGTGATCAAGAGGGCAGGCTCTAAAGGCATCGGATTGCTTCCAAAACGTTCTGGAGCACCATTGAAGATGGATAATAGAAATCAGAGACGGCTCGCACGTCAGCTTCGCTCTGCACCGTTGTTAGCAATGAAGAATCATTTGAAGTTATGGTGTGACGCCGACCCATCAATTTCAATGGATACGTTCAGGAAGTATATGAAGCTAATTGGCTTTCAATCATATAAAACTGCACACAAACCAGCATTGACACCTGAGCACAAGCTGAAAAGACTCTCCTGGTGCTTGGACAAAGTCGGATGGGGGCCAGAACAGTGGAGAAAGGTTGTTTGGTCCGATGAGTCCAAATTCATGGTTCTCGGTAATGATGGTGGCTCTAGGATGATCCGAAAAGAAGGTGAAAGTTACAATGATTATCACCTCATCAAAACCAAGAAGTTTAGAAGCGGCTCTGTGATGTTTTGGGAATGCTTTTGGGCTGAAGTCTACGGACTGTTAGTAGCACTTGATGACCGAGTAAATCAGGACAGATACATCGAGTGTTTGGACAAGAGCTACTTGCCACGGATAGCTGATGTGATGAAGAATGAGTAAGGCAACTTCGTTCTTCAAGAAGATGGTGCTTCCTGTCATACAGGTAGAATCTCTACAAGTTGGAAGGAGGATCAACCACTGGTCAACAGTTTTAGCTTCTGGCCGGCTCAAAGCCCCGATTTGAATTCAATCGAACATCTGTGGGCCATTATGGAGAACCGAACTGAGAGCAAGAGGCATCGCATTGATAATGCAGAACAATTGCTTGCGTGTATCCATGAGGAGTGGAATAACTTGGATCTTGATCTGGCGGAGAGATTAGTTGCAAGTATGCCATCTGGATGTCAAGCTGTAATAAATGCAAGAGGCGGAATAACACGCTACTAAAAGCATTGAATATAAATAAAATACTATTGTAAATATCATATATCCAAATTTCATGTACTTCTTACGATGTTTTATTAATGATGATTTGATGTCGAAGATCAATGAATTACTTGATGCCAAAAAAAAAATTGAGCTCAGTTACGGTGACTAATTCGTATCGAGTGTATAATAGGTACTACATCAGTATACTGGACACAGGGTTCTCTCAGCAGTAACAAATTCCCCGTCAAGCATACGATGTACATTATTGATTTCTTTTTTAGAATAACGAAATATAGAAAGAGAAAATACAATTAGAACTGAATATATTTATTGCTGTTCCAATAATGAATGAGGACTAAAACTAATGCAAATTTCGAAAATGATTTATCGACAAAATGTGAATTGAATCATCAGCATAAAAAGTACAGTTTATTATGATGGATATGATGTGGATATTACAATAATGGATTCAGGGTAATAAGAATAATGAATGGATTGGAACTCCTTAAGTGTGACAATAAATGAGTAAAAGATGGCAGTATACTATACGATGATATGTTTCAATGGTATTTCTACTATAATATTATAAAGTGGCATGTGAGTGACTAGACCTCTCCGTAATATCACAATACCACATTCAGGAATCATATTTTATATTTAAACCAATGCAGTAGCATAAATAAATATATAAGCTCTTTCTATCTACTTGTTAGTTTCAGTAACTTTCAACTAGTTCTGTTAGTTTTAAATTCATTGCTATTCTATTCTTCTATTACATCTCTTTCATCAGAAAGGCATTTTGGTCAGCCAGCAATAGCGCCGCTGCCCGCATCCAAAATTGATTCACACTCAGTTTATTTTTCTGCTAAAGATTGGCCAAATGTTGTCTTTTTTCGACTTGATTGAACTATTCTGTGAGATTCGACTATATACACTGTGATGATCATCCTATGCTTCCTAATACATTCTTGTAGTACATTTCAAGGCGCTTCCGATGGTGCCAAGTAAAATAGATGATTTAATTGGATTTATTGCGCAATTTTAGAAAATATGAAATGAGGGTTTTGGCCAAAAAGTCGATATTTTGCATATCAAGGTCCCATCAAGATGATTTCAGGAGTTGCGTTAGATGGATAGTATCATTTTGGTTTAATATATACTATAGTAAAAGCCTTCATTATCAAGGTGAAAAACGCGATCGTTTGATTTTCAATGAAAACCATGAGGGGTACCTCATGCTTTTTTGTCGAATTCTGTCCTTGTTTTTTTGGGTCCCCAAAAAGTTCAGCAAAGGTGTCAAGAAGTTACTGCTAATCGAATACAATTGTTTGGCGCTATTCTGGTGGCTCAGAAAAGTCTGCATGTCGAGATATGAAGGCTGAAAGCTGTCAATTTGACTGTGTATGTATACTGGTAAAATAAGACATATTTATTCAATAAGCAGCACTTGATGCAGTTGTTGTTATAATGTAAGATCATGTTGTGAAATTAGTATAATGTATTTAAAAGTTATATAAATGTTGGTAAAAAAAAAGGGGGGAATTGAAAATAAGCAGATTAAGTGTACAAATGTTGAGTAGCAGCACTGACAAGAGGGATAGATTGACCTTGAAGGTCTTCAAAAGACAGAAACTTGGTGGGAAATTCAACCAGATGGCCACGAATATTGTTCAAGTGCTGACGCACTTGATCTACAGACATGTTGGGATCATGGACATGGCCCAATTCAATTTTTTCAGGATGAGGGTAAAACTTGTGGTATTCATCCCAGGTCAGAATCGTGTCGTCAGGGACACAGTGGAACACCTCGCGGAAGGAAACTGTGTTAGTATGAGCAGTATGGTTCCAACGGCCCAAGGTCTCGTCATCCAAAGGATCCATCACCCAGTGATCCTCCTTGGTTTGCGTGTTATCAATTTGTAACACGGGCAAAGGCAGCATGGCATCGTTGACCTGATCAATGGGCTCCTCGTCAATCAAACCCAAATGCTCCTTCCACAGTTGACGACGTAACGTGGCAGCAAAACGACTGGCTTGGTACTAACAGCAAGGTACACAGATTAGCACAAAATTCATTCATTCTCTATTACAACTTACAGGCTGGCCATTCATGCGAGAAGGAATCATGTCCTTGTCTTCGGTAATTAAAGCAATTTCAGAATCACGATCACCACATTGCGATCGATCATTCAGATTAGCAGAACCCATAATGACAACACGATCATCCGCAATGAGCAATTTAGCATGGATATACAGTTCCTCAGTAACATAATCACGCACTTCTTCCCTTTCAGAGATCTCATCGCGGGGAGCACTGTCAGCAGTGTCACTGACCCAGGGTTCGTCACGAACAGAGTTACGGTGGTTGTTCATGGCGTCAGGTGCAATAGAGTCAGAGGCAATATAGTGGCTATGGTGCTCCTGACTCTGGTATTGCTGTCTGTGACGCTCCAATTCTTCAGGCGAGACAAATCCAGCAGGAGGGGTAGGAGTGTTTTGGCCCACTTGAGTTGCTTCAACGTCATGTTCCTTCAAAGGGACGCCATTCTTGTGAGGCGTGTAACCAGCATCACGGGCCAGCATTTCCTCCACCATGGGACGATTAATGCGATCGTAGCTTCTCAAACTGTAGAATCGAATGTAGTCGTCAGGATTAATGTTGTGTGCCTTGAGCTTCTCCAGAATACTCTTTTGACCACTGCAAATGGAGACGTATTGGTAATACATGACAAGCCTGGAGCAGGAGTGCTGTGTGAGCATGATATCATCTATGGCTTGATCAGTCTTATATCTTTACCTGGCAGTAGCAGCATCCTTTGAGCTCAACTCGGCAGGGAATGCAGGCATTAAGGGGATCAAGACAAAGACCTTGAACTTTTCTTGCTCATCAAATGCTCTCTTGATACGATTCACAATGGCAGCGCCAATTTGATTCTTCAAGATATAGTTGCTGTCGTCTTCGGTGGTGGTAACTGTTGAAACATGTGTTTAGCGCGAGCTGCCTGACCATACATCATCACTGACTTACTAAAGAACTGATTCTCAATATAGATGTAATGTTGTGCATTGTTGATGACATCAATGTAGGCATTTTGGATAGAATGCTGATAAAACAAGGTTAGTGTTTCAATCCATGGATGTACAATCTTGATTTGTCCAGACAATCTACCTCTAAGTTAATACCACTGCTCCATTCTGCACTACTACGAAGCACCTGTACTTTGCATGTACCATGAATACCCGAGGTATTGTGTCCAAAGTGGTAGGAACGGAGCATCTTGCTTTCAAGAGGGATCTTGAAGCTTTGGTAATTGCTGTAGCCGCCAAGTGGGGGCTTTAAGAAGGGAGCCTGCTGCTTATCCAAGGACTTGGATTGCTTGATAAAGTTCCATCTATCGCAGAAATGACGTGCGACATCCAATACGGGTTCACCGAGCTAAAATAAGGGCACATTAGAAGGGGAATACAATACAAAAAAAAAAGTAAAAAACAAAAAGGAATATATGTTACCATGCACAGGGAAATATCATGCCATGGCATACGTGGGATAACAGTCTTGTCAATCAGTCTCATGTCCCAATGCTTGACTATATAGCATCGTGTCAATGTACATACCCGCACAAGACACACTCTGATACGCACCTTTCTCGAAATCCCGCAATCTGGCATCACTGTAATCCTGACCTGGATAGATTTCCAAGTGAGGGTCAGCGTAATTAAAATCGGCTAATCGGTGGGCATGTGTATCCCATCGACTACAAAAGTAAACAGTTACATACACATGATCCCTTTGATATGAAACAATAGAGACCACTTACCCATAGCACAGATCAATGCCACCCAAGAATGCAATGCGATTATCCACGACAACAAACTTCTCATGATGCGACCAAAAGAAAGTGCCTCCCACTGCATGGTCAGGATGTCTTTGCACTGTAATGCGTCAATTACATAATGTGCATATTTCTCTCAAGGCCCAACTATTTACCAACAATGTTCTCGTGCAAATTTTGCAACGCCTTCTTGGTATGAGCACTGTCCAAGGTAAGCGCCATTTCCACTTCCTATGATATGTGTGTGTTGGTATGCTAAAAACGTCATCAACACAATCAAGCCCTTTTTTTGTCCTACCTTGTACACAACAATGTAAATCATGACGCCCTCTTCGGCCTTTCTTTTCAACAATGCGTCAATACGATATTCTGGAAACTTGGCTGGAGGTCTTCGAAGGTACTATTAAGGTTTGTTCTGTATCAGTTTTGCCAATCCATGGAAATGCCATCACACACTCCACTTACCAATTCAGGCGACTGCAAAGCAAAAGAATCATGTTAGCCCGAGAACATTTCTATACAACTCTGGAACCTTACCAACCACCAATCCTCGATAAAAATCACCTCTTGAGCACTTTCAATTGCCTCTGCAACAGCCCTGAATAACTATGCTTAGCCTCGATATGGCCCGATAAAGAGGCGTCTAGGCATTATGGGGCTTACCAGCAGTAATCATGGCCATCGATAAAGTACTTTACCATGGCTTCCTGTCGGATGGGAGCGAATGAATCATAGCGGTGTTTCTCCATCAAGTACTCCTCTTCACGATCGTCTTCTCCTCCCTCGCAGGTGTTGGGTCTAATGACATTGTTGACTCCATGGCGCAATTTGTGCTTGACCTTGTTGGCTAAATGGTTCAAAATAGGCATTACTCTTTATAAAAGAAAATGGGACTAAAATGTTTTTAATATTCACAAAAAGAAAAAAGAAGCAGAGGACAGACAGCAAGTTGGGCTTGTTTATATACCTTTGATGCAACCAATCGCCTATTCAAATAGACATTGAGATTGTTGTGCAACTCATCAACAGACGCATCACCTTACACACCTTACACCTATAGAAAACCTTATGTTTGAGTATATTTTAGGTGCCATGAAACAGGATAAAATGCAAAGACTGAGATTTGGTTTTTCACTTTTTTTTTTTTTTTTTTTTTTTTTTTCATAAAATATGTGTGGTTTTGTTGGGCTTCATCAGTAAGTCTAATGATGGATGATAGATACAGCCATGTCCTAGTGCTTTGATAACGATCACTGTCTGCGAAGAGCAAGTTTGAGTAATGTATTCCATGATTGGCACTTGTCAAGATGACGATTCAGACGCCAAGATTATATCACTTTTGGTATTTATTATCAAGCTCAACGTCAGTTATTTGCTCCAAAAAAAGCAATTTAGTATGTTCACACATAGCAACACCCTTCGTTCTTTTTGCTGTGCTTATTTATCGACGTTTCCAATGGAATTCCCAGTAGGTTCTTGCGCTTTATGTTGATTGTATGAATGCATTCCATTGTGCACCGCTTTGAGCTTTGGTAGAAGGCACTGCCTATTCACAAACTGGTTATCGTAGCCATTGGATAGACCGTTCAATATCAAAAAATGCACTGAACACAGCGTCTTTGTAGGGATCTGCTAGATTGCTTGGTTCTGAAAGCTGCAGTGAACCATTTGATGTGGATATGATCTTGAGTAGAAAGGGCTTCTATACGACATGGTGGTGCTTACAAGTGCTGAATGCATGGCTGTGGGCTCGATGATAAAAAAAAAAAAAAAAAAAAAAGTGCCTTGATACATTGGCCATGTATAACATTTATGTCACATTCGTTCATGGATTATCCAGAAGGAAGAGCGTTGTGGTCGTCTCTTGTTGGGCTGAAAGGCTTTATGATGGTTGCAGTTTGGCGCATCACTCTATACTCACTGTCTTCGAGATCCTTGAGCCCTTTGATGAACTGATATTTCCTAGGAGGTTCTGTTTGGAGGGTACCCGATCGTATCATCTGGGAGTAGCTTGGTTTATATACTCATTCAAGAATTCAGACAGGTCAGTTTTCTTGTGGATCCATCAAGGGCCTATATATAGCTAAAAAGCATCATTTTTTATTGATCTTTTGCTATTTGTATAAGTCGCCTACTTGCTGGTGCATGTAGCAGCTTCTATTGTAACTGTTTGAGGCAAAACAGAACGAGAAATATGAGCTGCAAAAAACACCCACTGCTTGTATGCTGAGTGATCGAGGCACATTGATAGTGAAATCACAATCTTGAAATGATAGAAATAGCAATCCACACTGACTAAATGTTCATGTTGGTCGCTTTTTTTTTTTTTTTTTTTTTTTTTTTTTTTTTTTTTTTTTTTTACTATATATCAATCACTTGTGTCTGATGGATAGGTGAGCAGCTCAAATACAATGCGCCGCTGCTTAATGCATTCTTTGGCTAACAATCAGCTACTGTGCGCCTCTGATTTGCTACAATTTATGAATGGTGTTTGAAATTAAAGGTGTTGTTCCATGTCGAGCTTTTCCTCTCCTTCTTTTCCTTTTTCTTTACATATCGACTTGTATACACCATGGAGGATGCAAGAGAAATTGCTATCAACAAACTCTCTGAACTGCTCAAACACCCAGATGATCTCACCAGTAAAGTGGGACCTCTCACTCGCAAACTAGCCAAGGAGAAGGCCTCCATCGATGCCCAACTCAATTCAGGCGTTCAGTCGCAGCTTGACCATGTACAAGAAGGTTTAGAGACGCTGACGATATCCAGCAGAAACATCAACAGAGTCAAAGACAACATGCAAAACATTGACAAGCTATGCTACGATGCTCAGTCGATGATTCATGATTTCCCAAGAATCAACATGGTAAAAAGAACCTCTGAAAGCAACAGCCCCTTTGTTGTACACTAACAAGACCAATAGATATCTCAAGTGCATCAAAACTTTGTGGCGACGCAAGCCAAGGTACAAGCGTTTCAGGAACTATACCAACAACTGGATGATTTAGAGGATGCATTTGCACCAATGCAAAACGATATTTTCAGTCCACACGAAGCACTATTACATGTGCATTATCACCTGTTTAAATTGGAGGAATTTCGTGATCAAACCATGCATCAAGCCCGTGATTCGCCTCACGATGTGATTATTACACTCAAAACATACTTTCGTCGAGTTGATGTGCTGTCAGACGACTTTACCCAGCATTTATGGCTGCTGGCTCGAAATCTGATCCCTCTGGTGGAAAACGGATGTGGTTCAACCATTGTCAAATTGATCAAGATTATCGAATGCGAAGAAACAGCGGATGAAAAGGCCCTGGCCGCGAGACAAGCACAGTCGAATCATCAAGACTTACAGGGCCACAAGAAATGGCGTTTAGCAGAAGGTAATCCTCGCACCATCAAGTCGTATCGAGTCGAGTTTTACGAGCAACTGCATCAATCACTAAGAGAACGCTTTGAGGAGGAATTTGCGCCATTCAAGGACAGTGAAGATTGGCAAGGTGCTTTGGATTCAACCGACTTTATCTTCAATGAGCTGGAATTGGTATATGATCAGGTGGTGCCCAAGTTCCCCAAAAAGTACAAGATCTTTCCTTATTTCGTACTAGAGTATCATCGCCATACATACGACCTACTGAATCAAATGGTACAACAGGATCTGGACGCAGGCACTATACTGAGATTGCTGAGGTTTGTGCGAGATTACTATACCACCATGAGCACAAGACTTGGCGTTACCGAAGAACTGCTGGAACCTCAATTACTGGATGGTCAGGAGCAATCGCTTGTCGATGATTATCTCAAGCTGGTCCGTAGAAAGCTGGTTGAATGGACATCCAACTTGATGCAATCTGAATCCAAGGATTTCGTCACTCGTCAAGATCCACCCGAGATGTCTCCAGACGGTCAATTTGGATTATCCGGTGCTGTGGATCTGTTTCAAATTATCAACCAGCAGATTGATGTGGCCGCAGACGCCAATCAGGGCAAGTTGCTCTACCTTGTAGTCAATGAGTGTCATAAGGTCATGAAGGATTCGCAGGTGTTTTGGAAAAAACTGCTCATGTCAGAATTGCAAAAGCAAATGGAGCAGCCAGAGGATGTGCCTGAAGGCCTGGTCGAGTATGTCATGGCATTGGCAAACGATCAAATCAAGTGCTCTGATTTCGCCAACGATATACTGATGCGCGTGCCTCCCATTGTGGACGCCAACTACAAGATGCAAGTGGAGGACAAGCTTTCCACAGCCATTGATGGCTACCTACAAATCGCAGCAAGTGCCCGTGAAGCGCTGTTAGAAGTGACATTTGCAGACATCAAGCCCGTGTTTGCCGATCTCTTCACCTCGCGCTGGTACGAACAGCCTCTGATCCCATCCGTCATTGAAACATTGAAAGACTACTGCAACGACTTTCAGCATTTGAACAAGTTTATCTTTGACAAACTGATCCACGACATGCTGGACAGATTTCTGATGTTGTATCTGGAAGCCATGCGACACAAGAATGCCAAATTTCACATGGAAACCTGCTTGGAACGCATTGAAAACGATGTTCGCCTGTCATTCAACTTTTTCGCCAAATACACCTCTGTGGAAGAAATGGAAGAGCGCTTCGATGTCATTGAAAAGGTGCACACACTATTGGAGAGTAACCGTCGCATGATTTTCGTGGATTACTACACACTGAGACAAGCGTATCCTGATGTGCCGCTGGCTTTTGTTGAGAATATATTGAGTAAACGTGATGATTTGGATAAATCGGCTCTCAAAGACATCATGGAAGGCATTAAAGCCAAAGCCCGTGAATATGAACCTGATGCAAATACCCCTCCAACCATTTTTAGTAGAATAAAGTGGTAGACACCCTGATCTATTTTAATGAAAGCAGTTTCTATGGCTCGTCAATATAACATGAAGAGGCAAACGGTGAAAAGTAGGCTTACTGTATATGTTCATAGACTTTAGACCGATACTGACGACACAACCGTGCTTTTGTTTTGCATATTCAACATTCTTTACTATATTTGTGTTATTATCACTACGGTTACTATTTACTTTTTGATTTAATAAATACGTAAAAAGAAAATGAGAGAGAGAATTTGCTTCTCTTTCATTCTTTTATCTCTCTTTATAGCCTCATGAAATCATTCTTTCTTCACAAGCATCGTAGAAAGGTGATTGCAGTCATCATCAGCAGCGTCATTATCACATTCATATGTAGACACGTCTATCTCTCCAATGCAGCAGCAGCGTCCAATGCCCTGCAAGATCTTGATTTGATGAGCAAGTTTTGTAATCAGCGAGAAAACTGGAAACCATATCAGCCTCTGCAGTTGGACTCTCGGAAGCAACCACAATGGGTGCCTAGCAATGCTGCCGTCGATAGTATTTACATGACCGAGAGAGATCATGCCAGCCATTTATACAGGGACTCGGTTCAACCTGATCTCTTTATGGACGACGATGTGTGGGATGGGTTACCGGTGAAGGGAGCATTCTATATGATTGTAAAGAACGAGGAATTACAATCAGCACGATCTGCAATACGTAGCATAGAGGACAGATTCAATGCCCACAATAATGTCAGCTATCCTTGGGTTCTCTTGAACAGCCAGCAGTATACACATGACTTTAAAAAATACATTCGTAAAGTAGCTAGCGGGAAAGTGTACTTTGGCCAGATTGATTTGAAGGCATTTACCTACCCAGAGTGGATTGATGTCAAACGAACAGAAAATGCAATAAGACGCATGATTTCTTTGCGCGTCCAGAAATCGCACAGCCTCTATGAGCGACAAGAAATGAGGTATGCTCTGTTGGAGCGAGATTATCAAGGCATATATTTATCATTACTTGAATACGTCTAGATACAAGGCGGGCTTATTCCAGCACCATTCTTTATTCAATACGGTCGATTATGCTTGGCGCGTGGAGCCTGGATCCGAATATACTTGCGATATGTTTCAAGGGGACGATCCATTCCAAACAATGAAGGCCAACAACAAAAAGATGGGTAAATTCAGCCTCTATCCAAATATACCAGCACACAACTCATCATTTTACCATAGGCTTTACCATCACAAGCAAGGAAGACTCAGCAACAAGCTTTAGCTTATGGCCTGCAACACTGCAATTCATTCGAATGAATCCTCAACTTATCACACAAGCAGATTCTAGCATCATGCCTTGGCTATTGACAAAGGAGAGAGAATACAACTTTTGCTACATGTGGTCAGACTTTGAAATTGTGGATTTGGCATTTTTGCGATCACAAGAGTACACGTCCTTCTTTCACTATCTTGATCTGGTGGGTGGTTTCTTTTATGAGAGGTGAGGATATACATACACTATACTGTTGGTCCCTATTACTGACATGAGGCTTGCATGCATAGGTGGGGCGATGGGCCAGTGAGATCGATAGCTGCTGCCATGTTTTTGAGAAAGGAGGATGTTCATTTCTTCAATGAGGTTGGATACAGTCGATCGTCAATTCAGCACTGTCCCCTTAGCAAGTCGTTGTTGGAAACATGTTCCTGCGATTACATGGACAATTACAGTAAGTTGTCGAGTAAAATGCGTGTATTTTCTTGGTTTATCTAATTGCAGTTTGACTAGATTTCAATTCAAACAGCTGTACAATGAATTTATTGAAAATAGTGTCGCCTCAATCCATCAATGACATATATGAGTTTGCCAAATCCATAATCGGGGAGCGGCTTTGATCTGCTTATATATAGGATTTCATATCCATTCAACCTGTGCCATTATATCATAAATTAAATAAATTCATTATCCCTACACATTTTCGAAGCCTCAAAACGGAAAAAATTGATCTTGAAAGTATTTCGATGAACTGGGCGTTATTAGATGTAAAACTAAGAGCATTGAGATTGCCAGCCTGCCCCCACTAGCCGCCAAAATTTATTTCAGCTCAGACGCATAGTCTGCTCTAGATTAGCCAATTTTGATAATTTTCGACTCGATTGATTTGTTTTTTTTTTTTTTTCCAGATTCGACTATATACAATATGATGATCATCCGATGCTTCCTAATATGCCCATGGTGGTAGGGCGAAGTGGTTAAGCATCCAACATGCCATCTGGGTGATCCCGGTTCAAATCTCAGTGAATGCATTTTTGGTGATTATTTTGACGTAGAATTGATGTCCTCGTTTGGTGTTTTGTGCTCTTATCCCAGTACCCATATTTTGACAATTCGCATGATTGTATTGGCTCTAGGTGGCGCACCTGATTAGTAGTAGATTTCTTTCCCAACTTAGTTCATTATATATCGTATTCCCCATCATTGCAGACATTGAGTCCACCAACAGTCTTTTCTTTCCCTCAGTATGACATTTTAAGGACTTTAAATAAAACCTGGAGCTCGACTCCCCTACAACAAAAAAAAAAAAAAAAAAAAGCTTCTTAATACATTCTTGCAATGCTTTTCAAGGCGCTTCCAATGGTACCAAATAAGATGGACGTTTTGAATAAACTTATTGAGCAATTCATGAAAATATGAAAAGAGGCTTCTGGCCAAAAAGTCGAAATTTTACATATCAAGGTTCCACAAAGATGATTTTAGGGGTTGCATTAGATGGATAGAAACATTTTGATTTAATATATACTATAGTAAAAGCCTTCATTATCAAGGTGAAAAACGCGATCGTTTGATTTTCGATGAAAACCATGAGGGGTACCTCATGCTTTTTGGTCGATTTTCGGTCATATTTTTTTTTGATCCTCAAAAAGTTGAGTAATAGTGTCAGCCAGTAACTGCCAGATGAGAGCAACTGTCTGATGCTACTCTGGCGGTCTAGAACGGCCTTTAACGCGAGAAAACACTGCTCAAATGCGCCCATATTTTGCTGTATTAAGCGTACTCTAGGCTAGGAAGGGGTAATACCAGTATGCTGCTTGCCCCGCATATGAAACATTTAAATGTATACGATATGTGGAACATCACATAAGAGTCAGACCCACAGATAATATAATGGGCTCTCATGTGTCAGCGAAGGGTTGAAATGAAGTAGCAATATTTTGATGAAATGAGCAAGGACAATTGGCAGCGCGAGCTGTCACTGCGGGGGTTGGTTCTCACCAAAGCGAAGCAAAGGTAGAGAGCTATTCGAAGCATAAACACACTTGTATGACTTTGATTAAGCGCTTCATAGTTGCGACTAATAACAATACATGCTACCTGAAATGCCAATTTATGCCAATTCGCCAATAGAATATCATGATTTGCATGAAATTCGATTTCAAATCGAGAACAAGGCACTCCTACCCTCCAAGCTTGAAAAATCGCCTCGTCAACAAATTTGAATGGCCAATGTTTGTTTGAATCGAAGCTGTTAAAAAACATTTAGGCCCTCGCCTATAAATCAAGAAATGAATTAGCGTAAGCTTTAGCCTCTAGCAACATTTCATCACACTCTTTCGCTTCTATTAAAATGGCTTCCACAAGCAGTGCTTCAGCCACTTTGCCTACTATTTGCACTAAACTTGATCTATCAGATAGTTCTTCATAGTAAGTATATCCTCATATAGCAGCACCCTTGATCTTAACTGACACTGTGCAAGCCTTCCATCCAACTTGTTTCAGCCAAGAAACTCATTTTTTAATCGCAAGCAAACCACACCTGGCGTACAGCAATTATTGCTGCGAAGAAATCAATTGGATTCACTGCAGACGTATGCCAAAGCACTATTACAGTTCAAACAACATTTGACAGAGTTATCGCTGAGAGAGAACAACTTCAGTCAATTTCCAATTGAAATCCTAGTATTAAAGAACTTGACATCCTTATCGCTCGCCAACAATCAGCTTGAAGTAATACATAAAGATATCTTGTCGCAGTTACCCAACCTGCAATGGCTCAACCTGGCTCATAATCGACTGACAGAGCTTCCAGTGGATATCGTTTGCTGTCATTATTTAAGAGGATTGGATCTAGAGAGCAACAACTTTTCATGTAAGCAAACAACCTTTGAATATGTCATTGAAAGAGAGTGAATAACACAAAAAGTAGCTTTTCCTAGTATCATCTTTTATTTGACTCGCCTTGAGGTGCTCATGTTTCAAAAAAACAAGGTCAAAGTCATTCCTCCAAATTATAACTTTCCACCTACTTTACATACACTCAACTTGGCATTTAACACATTGACTCAAGTTCCAAATACGCTACTCCACCAACCACCCGATGCGCTGACACACTTACATCTCTCAGGCAACAGGCTTGGACAATTGCCACCTAAATTCTTATCTTGTGGATATTCAAAGCTAGTCAGTCTAGACTTGCACACATGCCAATTGACCAGAGTTCCAAGCAAGTTCTTTGAGCGTCTATCCAAATGCAAAGACCTGCGAAGACTCAACCTGGCCATCAACCGTCTGGCCGAGGTGCCACCTGAAATTGGCTTGCTTTCTCAATTGCAGTGGCTTAATTTAAATGATAATCGCATTACGCACTTGCCAGACACCATATCATCGTTGACGCATCTGGTGAAATTGGGCTTGGTGCAGAATCAGCTCAAAATCTTGCCTCCATTCATGTTTTTGCACATGCTGGAACTTCAAAAACTGGATATCCGTCGCAACCAACTGAAATACATGCCTCCTTCCATCCTGGCACTGGCACCGAGACAAGAGGTGGATATTCATGTAGATCTGGCTGTGCCTCATTTGGTTTTTAGTACGCTGTCCAACCCTCCCTGCCACAGCAATGACCAACTTGGTGCCGATTGTCATCCCTATGGTGGGTCGTTGCGCACATTGTTGTTCTATGAGAACACCACGATTGAACATGTGGACGGTATACTTTGCGAATTGGACAATTTTGAGGATGAAGAAGACGGTATTGAAGGAGTACAGGTGATGTCACTCTCCAGCGCGTACAGTGTACTTCAAACAGCTCAAACCAACAACAAAAAGGCGTTGCGTGATGCATTATACAGCAAGAGGAACATCCCTTACTGCAGTGATGCTAAATTCAGGAGATCAGATCATCCCATGCCCAACTTGCTTTCTGAAATTGACGATGAGGAAAACGCTATTAGTGGTGATGAAGATGACATGGATGAAGAGAAAGAAGCACTCAAAAAAGAAACACAGCGTATTCTGACCCAAGTAGCAAGCCTACGAGAAACATGTCTACGAACCCACTTGACACACTCACACAGGTATCTCAAGACGAACAAGCGCATCGATCAGTATACCGAAAAGGTCTACGATTTTATAGACAGTGCTTTACATACAACCATCGTGCCCAGCTACATCAACCAGTACGCACAAGCACTGGCACGACAATGCGACTACTGTCATTCTTGGAATACACAATCTGCGTTTCAGATAGGTTACCTCGCTCGCTTGTGCAATAATCGTCTGCAAATTCCAGTTCGGTTCCACATGTGCTCCATTGAATGTACTCTGGATGCGGTCATCAAGCTGTACCAAAGCACCATGGACTGGCATACACGACAGTCCTTGGCCCATATCGATGCTACTTTACTCCTACCTTCTGTCAATCCAATGTCCAATGTGCCAACTTTAGTACAAGCACCGCCACAAGCACCACCATCTGCCACTAGAAGTTCTACTGCCAATCGCATCATTCAAAGTGTACCTTCTGTCAATACGAACTACTGGCATGTAGGGCTTTCCAGCAGTAATGCGAGACGTGCTTCCACTCAAACAAATGGCACTCTGGGCACCATACAAAATGACGACGATGTCTCTCAGCATGACCAAGAGCACGATTCACTCCTGACGCAAAGATCCAGATCTACATCCTCCTCATCATCGACCACTGCCACGACACTATCGGACTCCACCAGCAGCGATGACTATTCAAGTAAATGCAGGATTCAATTCAAATGATATATTGACTAACCACACTCCTTGAACAGTGGCTGGACAACCCTCTCTTGCAAGAACCATCCGAAATCGAGTGACACAATTTGCATCTACTTTCTTTATTGGAAGCGCTAATAGCCAAGCTGATATCCGTATTGTAGATCAAGAAAGCAGCATTAGTAATAGTACTAGTAGCACGCGCTGTCAAAGCAGTATCCAGCAGCAGCATCAAGAGCCATCTCATCCGCCGCTTTCATCTCTGGTGCTCCCCAACCTCAATCTTGGCACCACATCCACAGCGTCATCCACAGCAAGAGAGTTCATTGAAGAAGAGCCTCCATCCATTATATCCATCACATCCCGCCTCGTAGAAGGCAGACTGCAAACAGAGCGCACACAACCACAGCTGCGCTTATCAGCACCTACACCGAGTCCTACTGCGTTTAATCATCTGCCGAGAGACGCTATACGCTTGGAAAAGTTCTAATAAATCTAATTTTCGTTTGCATTGTCGTCAGGCACATCAGTGGTTGCATATATTTACAGCGGCGGGATGACATCCGACAAGATTGGGTATACAGCTGAGATGAGTTTACTGTTCTTGTCCATGACATGTAAATGCTATTCTCATGAGTGCTTCCATATAACCTTCGCTTGAGTGCACTCGTGTCCCTGTATTCAAGTGAAAGATGGTGATCATCGAATCGAAACAGAGAGACAAACAAAACCAACGTCATCTGCAATTGGAGAACCGCAATGTGTGTGTATGATGCTTTTTCTGTTTCCAGATATCTCTCGACGGATGTTTTTGGTATTTTAAAACTCTTTTTTTTTTTCACGTATTCCCTTTCCCCTTTTTTTCTTCTACTTTCAAAAGAAACATCTCGTAAGTAACATCTCGATCTCTTGATTGCACAACCTGACTAGGCTCCATACAGTATACAATGTCCTCCACAGCTAGACCCCTTAACGATGATGAAGTCTTCAACGAGATGAAGAAGATGGTATACATGATGATAGCTTTCTAATGACGAAACGGGTTGATTAAATCCTATTTGTCTAGGTTGCCTTCATCAAGCAAGAAGCTTTAGAAAAGGCCAGAGAAATCAAAGTCAAGGTAAGCAAGCGCAGATTATGTTGGCAAACCCTTTTCATCAGTAGACTCATATGTGCTATAGGCCGATGAAGAGTTCAATATTGAAAAGGTAACTCATGAAACACTCTACAAACACACGCGCCTTTATCTCAGTCCACTCAAACTACATGACAGGCAAAGATCGTTCGTCAAGAATCCTTAAACATTGAAGCCGTCTTTGAGCGCAAGATTAAGCAAGCTGAGGTTCAGAAGAGAATGTAAGAAAATTATGAAACATCAAATCCCTTAATCCAAATGGTATCTAACAAACACGTTACTTTCACCCTCTATTTTAGTGCCCAGTCAAACCACATCAACAAAGCTCGTCTTAGAATCCTTCAAGAACGCCAACAAGTGCTTGATGATCTCTTTCAAGAAACAGATAAGCTCATTCATGAAATCTCAAAGGACGAAGATAAATATGCTACTTTGATGGAAGGCCTTATTCTTCAAGGTGCCTATGCTCTTATGGAAGATGACGTTGTTATCAAGTGCCGTGAACAAGATGTCGATCAAGTAAATTCTGCCAAGGAACGTGCTGCTGAAAAGTATGAGGAAACCATGAAATCCAAGCCTAATTTCGAGATTAGCGAGGAATATCTTCCTGCATCAAGGTTAGAAAACATCTCGATATATATATATATATATATATAGAGCTCATGCTAACAAATCTATATAGTGCTGGTGGTGTTATCATGACTGGTCTGAATGGTAAGATTACTGTTGACAATAGTCTGGGTGCTCGTTTGGATATTGCCAAGGAAGAGATGCTGCCTCAAATTCGTGTTGCTTTGTTTGACCACTCTCCCAACAGAACCTTCTTCAACTAAATGTCTATATTTTTGTCGTTTGAACTATCTCTTCCTTCTCCTTTCTTTTTTTTTACCCCCCCCCCCCACAACCACTTTTCCTATCAGATCATTTCTCTTTCATCGTTTGGAGATGCTTGATGCTAGGGAAATGGATATTTTATCAAGAAATCAGGTTCGAATAAAGCATAGTACGTGATTTTTTTCAAAGACGTCGCTGTGAGAGGGGAGGGGCTATTGTTGAGCAATATTATAATTGCTGTAGGAGATGGTGAGCGCTACTTCAGGACTGTCAGCTTTCTGCGCGTTTCAGATCACCTCTCTTGACCAGTCTTTGCATACAAACTGTCAGACGGAAAACGTCTCATACTTTTTAATGTATTTGTAGCTGCTGCATTAGTTGTATTCTTTCTCTATTTGTTCAAATAGAAGACGTAATGCATGCTTAAGCAACTTAGGAGGGATTTTATTCCAAGAAATGGAGTGAAGATAAAGGGCAAAGTAACCAAACTGCTAATGTCAGGTAGGGAAATAATCGATTACGTTTATAAAGCATTGGATGCATCTGGTGTGCTGTCCTCAGATCAATCCGCTTAAACCCCTTAAGCATACCTGTTCTACTGAATCTTCTGCTATTCGAATATAACAGACTAGTCCCTCTCAGATGGTCTACAAAACCATTTTAATTTTGTCATTTGCTCAGTTTAATCAAACAATTCCAATGATACTAAAAGCGACTAAGTGTCCCATCGAACTCTAAATGTATTCAACATGTACGTTAGTTTGCCTCCTTTCCATGGTAAATTAGATGAGTCAATAACAGCTAGGTCTGTAAACAAAACGATTCATTCTGAAATCATTCAAGGCGGCTAAGACTAGCGAAAAAGAGCTATCATCCGTAATCCATAACCCAAGCACCCCTCAACCTTTCAAAAATCGTTCTTGTCGATTGATTCATCATGGCTAACTAGACGATGATTCTAGGTAAAAAATTATGTTAAATTTATCATAGACAAAGACGTCTTTTAGTTATGAACACAGTGTATCATGATTGCAACCATAATAAAGAGAGTTAGGCTTCGCTATGGTCATGAATTTTGCGCAATACTTGACGGTCCAACATATGAATTGCTAGCAACAGAGGCTATACCTTGGAATCATCGCCCGTTGCCTTTCTCTATTCGAGTTTTGTTTCTCTTTTGATTTCCCTTTGAATTTCGATTTTAAAATTCTAGCATTGAAAGTAGCATACTCCTATACCACTTTAGAGCGATAAAAACGATGATGTAGTAGTAGATTGACTCTAGACAGTATGGGGTTGTTGTAGAGAAATAAGCTACTTTGGAAGCAAGCCAACTTTGAGTAATAAGCTTCATATAAGAACTTGTTAGTCACGAGTGTTTACGTATTATTGATTGACGGATCAGATCTTGGAAAATGTTGTATTTAAAACCGCTTGGTAGAAACTTGCCTCGTTTTAATCTGGCAAAGGATCAAAGGTTTGCTGCACATTTTACTGAAAGGGAGGAACGGCTATTCCAAGTTGTATGTTGATACTAAAGCCTTTATGTCATCACCAGTATATACCCAATTTGAGAGGTTACTAAATATATGAACGGATTTCAGTCGCTACATTGGTTGTCTGATAATTAGGTAACAAAGCTGTAGCGAAACCAATATATATTTATATAAAACAATATTTGGACGCTATATCTTGATCAATGGTCAACTCAAGCTGGCTTCTCCATTAATCAAATTATGTTTCCCTTTATTTGCTCTACAAAATGAGACCTTGTTTTGTCATTTGCCATGCTTCCTTTGAAAAACGCTTTCCAGCACCCAAATTGCAGTTCAGCTTCGACAGCAAAGATTCTTCATCATGTCTAGTATCTATTGATAACTGGAAGATGACAAGTTAATATGGCTCTCTTCGTACGCTTCGATTTTTAACATGCTCAGTCAAATTCATACTTGTATGGCGTACACATGCGGAAGGTCAACGGAGATCCAATTTCTAATATTCTGAATGAGGATCCATGGGATTCCAAAATCTATCGACCTTAAAATTACACGTTTCTTAATAGTAAACACACCTTCAAGCTTATGAAAAACTTGTGGACAATTTTAAGGAGAATACTGTGGAATACATCCACTATGATCTGCATTCCGACAGTTCATCCAGTTACCATATTTAGATATAAACTGTATGTACACTGGATTAGATGTACGATATCGATTTATACTATGATCATGAGAAGATATGGACTTCAGATACGCTAGTACTATAAGATTCATACTATATAAGATATAGGCTATAGATGGCACCACGGACATGGATGGCACTATAGACTTATACTTGTATTCCGACATTGACTACGGATGTTTACCATATCTGGATAGGCACCAAGATTAATGCAATATGAGCTTGTTGCTTCAGATGTGCACTTCATGATCCACGCTATAAGACACATGCTTATATCCGTGATACTAGCTACAGATACTTTATGTACTACAGACTTGTACTATATATGAGACATGCTATAGACATGCATACGATATGCTATAGACATGCCATATATCCAGATACATGCTAAAGATGTATGCTTAGCGATATACACTCAGATATGTACTATTAATATAGACTAAGAAGACTGTACCTATCGGATACATGCTACTAGATCGATATTAATTATCCTTATAGAAAGGATAGATCAGGGTACTTCGGATGAGAGTCTAATTATTCATCCAGACAGAGCTAAATCATGATTAGCTTGCTGGAGTTGTCTTTTAGCATGATTAGACATTAGTTGATCTGAGTTGACTTATTTGTCAATCTAATTAATAGAACTTTTATCCATTGTTATAGTATATAAGAAGGATCATCTACCTGGCCAGTAGAGAGACTTCAGTTTACTTTACACCTGTCAGTTTGATAATAAAATATACCTTTATCAAGTTGACATTACTGTTTTTTTTATTCTTTTTTTTCCGTGAATTTTAGTCTATCAAGCCTCAAATTCCACAAATACAATGGTATTTGCTTCAAGTGTCTGGTGTACATTGTTAAACTGATATATGATGCGATAGTTTTTGCAATTTTTTGACTTTTTTCTAACGATTAATCAGTATCTGTCATCAGAACATTTTGTTAAGCATTACTAAATGTAATGAAATAGCCACCCAAACGCAACTTAATTGAAAACCAAAGTTCATCAAATAGCACTCATTCAAATACATGCTATTTGGATCTATTAATGAAAGCGCTCAAATGTACATCAAAAACCCATTTAAAAATACTAAAGTAAAGATGCATGCTTATATCGCACATCGTGTGAATGAATCACTCCTGATCACAGTGTATTCAATTACACCCATGATGGTCGCAATAAGTGATGGTATCTTTATCCAAATAGAATTAAATCAATAACAAGCATATTCAAATATGACAACTATGCCCTGCTGCCATAGTTGCACAATATCCCAGATAAAGGATTCCATACTTCAATAACAAACATCACACTTTAAACCATAAGGTTACATTAAATCATGCTATGACGATAGCTCACCCAAGCCCATCAAGGTTACTCAAATCGACCCTTATGGCCAGTGCTCTAGCATTGATTACCACTTTAAATCAAACATCAACAACATTTGCCAGATATCGAAATAGCAGAACCTATTGCTCTCTGTCATCACTAATCCTACAAGCTAGTTGCAGATGTATAAATACTCTTCTTTTTTTTTACTCAATTCCAAGATCTTCAGTTCATTTTATAGACAAATAAAATATAGTTGATTTCTGTTGTATTTTACTATTGCTTTATTTTTTTGTGAAATCTATTTAAACCCGATTTCACTAAAATCCGTAGTCAATGTCGGAATACAAGTATAAGTCTATAGCGTCATCCATGTCCGTGGTGCCATTTATAGTCTATGTCTTATATAATGTGAATCTTATAATACTAGCGTATCTGAAGTTCATGTCTTGTTATAGTATAAATCGGTATCGTACATCTAATCCAGTGCACACATAGTTTACATCTAAATCTGGTAACTGGATGAACTGTCGGAATGCAAATCATAGTGGATGTATTCCACACTTAGAATTAGAATAAAAGTGTCCATCACTTGCGAATTGTGCCCCGTACAATGCAGAGCATTTCTAGATCACCAGACAGAAGTGTAATTTATTGACTCTTCTGGCTGTTTAGGATATAGATCATCTCTGAGAGGCAAATGTATTAGGCGTTGTATATTACATAAGAGGATCTGAGAATGAGCTGAGATGCATAGTAGAAGTGAGAGGTCTTTATTCAAGCAGCACGAAGGAACATGAGTGGTGCCATCAAATGTCTAATCTACTGTAGGGGGAAAAACTGTCCCGTTCGTTCAAATAATCTTGACTTTTACCTAGTATATTGCCAAAACTCAGAAAACAAAGCCACCCCATACTGCGTTCGATAGAACAGCCTATAGGGATTACAGCAATATAAAAATTTTATGGCTGGACTATATTTTAATCTCAGTATAACCAGCTAAAGTGAGACGTGGCAAAAATGTTAGGTGGGTAATTCTAGATGATATAAAATGGTTGATATCTTTACTTCAAATAGACGTATTGAAGAAATCTAAAAAACTACTCGCGGTATGCTCAGGATATCTAATATTCCAGGAGCACTCTAAAAGTATAAAAGAAGCTAGTTTCTTCATGTTTTTTCTTTATTTCTTTGCTTTCTTATTTTTTTTCAAAACTTTCATTTTGCCTGCTCGTTTAACACAAGATTTGCGCAACGTTCTCCAATCTTTGCTCCAACGTGGTCTTTCGCTCTCAAAGATAAAGAATTTGTATCCAGGAGTGGGTAACTCTACTCTTACAAGGCTCAGAAAACTCTATTGCCCTGACCCAGCTAGACCTCTTGTTGGCGGAAGACCGAAAAAACTTGGTGCTAAAACTATGTCCCTAGTGTCAAGAGGACTTTGATCAGGTGCTTTAGATAATCCCGGAGCAGCGCAAGAAAGTTTAAGATTGATGGGGCATGATATGTCAATTAATGGCATCCGCAAGTCATTGAGACGAAATGGACTTAAATCTCGTAGAAAAGTAAAGACCAATTTTGTTAGCAAGACAAACAAGCGGCTTCGATTGGCGTGGGCTAAAAAGCATAAGCATCTTACTATTGCTGATTGGAGTCGTTGGGTGTTTTCGGATGAAACAAGAATAAACCTTTGGGGCTCAGATGGTAATTCTTTTTACTGGATGAATGGTGGCCGAATCATGCAGTCGTATTAAGTCAAGTCTCAGTTGCAGGGAAATGACGGTGGGGTCATGTTCTGGAGTTGCATAACAGCGGAGAGTCCTGGTTATGGTACTACCATTATTGAAGGCTCAATAAACTCGGGCTTGTATGTCGATATTTCGAAGACATCATTGAACGATACTCTTGAGCACTTTGGGAAGACACCATCTGATGTGCGATTTCAACAAGACGGAGCAACACCGCATACATCGGGCATTACTAAACAATGGTTCACCGACAATGGGTTTAACCTAGACGAAATTATGGATTGGCCACCCCAAAGTCCCGATCTTAATCCCATTGAACATGTCTGGCATCTCCTAAAGCTTCGTCTTAATAAGTGTCCCACTAGGCCCTCAACAAAAGAAGAATTAGAGCGGCGTATTAACATTCAGTGGTAAAAAATAACAGAAAAAGAGTGCCAGAAATATATTGATAGTATGCCTGCCCGAATCAAGGCTGTCATCAAGAGCAAAGGTGGTTCAACTCACTATTAATGATTTTATAGTAAAATGTACATTTTTCTATATTTATTTTTTAACCAATAAAATCATTGGATTTTAGTTTTTGAAAAAGTTATAATTATGTATAGATAGCACTACTTTCTCTCATTCAAACGATATATATTTCGACTTTGTATACAAAGAAATGACCAAAAACTTGTGCAAAAAGACAAAATTTTAAACGAACGGGACAGTTTTTCCCCCTACAGTATATCCTGGTTCTTGGAGAGTGGTAGCCTATGGCCTTTCGTCCCTGGAAGTGGGTTTCAATTCCGACAAATGTTCTTCCGTCAAAGCTATTGGGAAGAACATTCTATCCTGGATCATCTTTGTTGTTTATCCTTGACTGGTGGTTCATGAGTTCTTATGCAGCACATTCTCGTTGACTGCTTCAAGGCTTATACAATTATCCCGCATTCAAGATCAAAATCCTATTGCTGCGGCACTGTCAAATAACTATAAATACCTTTGATATCTACACTAGTAGTTTTGACCCCCATTCAATCTTGGAATAACATAATAAATATATTCAGTTCTAATTGTATTTACTCTGTCTATATTTCGTTATTCTAAACAATTTGAATATTTATATTAAATTGATTCTATGAATTATGTGTCCTGAATTCTGTTTCTATATGCTATAGTTAGTAATGAAGGGCTGACCCTTCTATGTTTGATTTTGATACCTTTAATAATCCTAAATGCTTGAACAGTTTTTATAGCTGGAAAGCTATATTTGTTGTTGAAAGATGGTGAATGATGATATTGATAATGTTACTAGAGGATGAAAGGATGGGTAATGTGGAGTTGCTTCCCATTTGTGTGCTTCCATTAGGAAAGAGAGATGTTTAAGAGTTTGAATATATATCTGTCAAAATGATACGAGGCTGAGTGGTAACTGATTTGTCATTCTTGAGATAGGATTCAGAGTATATTCGAATATAAGAAGCATTTAAGAGTTTAATGTCAATTTTGTTGTGCCAGAAGGGCTACAACTGTCTATAAAGATTAAGGTATTCTCGATGGGTATATATGTCTGTGTTGTGCAACAACATGGACAAGCTATAATAAGTGAAGTGCATCTCAGCTATCTAAATACTGAAGTTCACCAGATGTGATAAGCGTTGTACAAGATAAATTGCTACTTTGACATTCAGAACTTAGTATAAATAGAATAACTCTTGTCTTCATCAATAAATCTTTAGTTTTTGTGTCTGATCTTATTCAAATAAGTCTTTTCTTGTTTTTATAATATCGAACATTTTTTATAAGCTACAAATAATAATCCTTTTATTCTTTGTGCTTAACAAATTTGTAGTAACAGAAGTAGAATCCAATATAGTAAGCAGTGAAACGTAGTTTATACGATAGTGTAGGCAATTTACAACAAAAAAAGAGAGATTCAGTTACAAAACCAAAATCGATTTGTAACACTAAATTAAAAAGTTACTCACGAAGTCTGTGTGTACCTGACACATTAAACAAAACAAAAGCACTACTGACACTACATTTGAGAAAAATGATAAAAAATATGCGGCTAAAGTGGATCGAACACCTGACCTTTAGATCTTCAGTCTAACGCTCTCCCAGCTGAGCTATACCCGCAATTCCTATATTTCGTCGCCTTGTAAAATAAATGTAATATATAAAGTTAACAAAGAAATAGAGCTTAACTAATGCTTAGTGTGTGGAATTTGAGGCTTTATAAGACTAAAGTTCACGGAAAAAAAGTATGAATAACAATGAAGTCAACTTGGTAAAGGTATATTTTATTTTCAAACTGACAGGTGTCAAGTAAACTGAAGTATCTGTACTGGCCAGGTAGATGATCCTTCTTATATACTATAACAATTGATAAAAGTTCTATTATTTGGATTAACAAATAAGTCAACTCAGATCAACTAATGTCTAATCATGCTAAAAGACAACTCCAGCAAGCTAATCATGATTTAGCTCTGTCTGGATGAATAATTAGACTCTCATCCGAAGTACCCTGATCTATCCTTTCTATAAGGATAATTAATATCGATCTAGTAGCATGTATCCGATAGGTACAGTCTCCTTAGTCTATATCAATAGTACATATCTGAGTGTATATCGCTGATGAGCATACTTCTTTAGCATGTATCTGGATATATGGCATGTCTATAGCATGTCTCATATATAGTACAAGTCTGTAGTACATAAAGTATCTGTAGCTAGTATCACGGATATAAGCATGTGTCTTATAGCGTGGATCATAAAGTGCGCATCTGAAGCAACAAGCTCATATTGCATTAATCTTGGTGCCTATCCAGATATGGTAAACATCCGTAGTCAATGTCGGAATACAAGTATAAGTCTATAGTGCCATCCATGTCCGTGGTGTCATCTATAGTCTATATCTTATATAGTATGAATCTTATAGTACTAGCGTATCTGAAGTCCATATCTTATAGTATAAATCGATATCGTACATCTAATCCAGCGTACATACAGTTTATATCTAAATCTGGTAACTGGATGAACTGTCGGAATGCAGATCATAGTGGATGTATTCCACACAGACGATTCCCGCAAGATTATATTGGCTCTAGGTATCACACCTTATTAGTAGTAGATTTCTTTCTCAACTTAGTTCAAAAATATCTTATTCCCCTTCATTGCAGACATTGAGTCCACCAACAGTTTTTTCTATCCCTCAGTATGACATTTAAAGAACTTTAAATAAAACCTGAAGGTCGACTCCCCTACAAAAAAAATGCTTCTTTAAGCTTTCTTAGAGTGCTTTTCAAGGCGCATCCAATGGTGCCAAGTAAGATAGATGTTTTGAATAAACCTATTGAATAATTTATGAAAATATAAAAAGAGGTTTCTGGCCAAAATGTCGAAATTTTACATATCAAGGTCCCACAAAGATGATTTCGGAGGCTACGCTGGATCGATAGAAACATTTTGATTCTATATATACCGTCGTAAAAGTTTTCATTATCAAGGTAAAAAACGCGATCGTTTGATTTTCAATGAAAACCATGAGGGATACCTCATGCTTTTTCAGCTCTTACACACTACTGTACTCAAAAAGAGTTGCATGTGTCACTACAAAAATGAGCATTATTTGTACTCATTCAGAGTTATATATTTTTCCATTAACACTTGGGGGATTTTTGTACCAATCACAGATGATATCGAAATTACATGTAATATCAAAATCCAATGCTGTTGGGCTTAATAGGCCCTGCTGCCTATACCGAGCTGCCTATACATGGCTGCCTATACATGGCTGCCTATTCCTAGCTGCCTATACCTAGCTGCCTATTCCTAGCTGCCTATACCTAGCTGCCTAAACCTAGCTGCCTATACCTAGCTGCCTAAACCTAGCTGCCTATACCTAGCTGCCTATACCTAGCTGCCTATACATGGCTGCCTATAATGCGTTCTGCCCTCTACTATACCTTGCTGCCAATTGTTTATTGATCGCAATCATTGGGGAATACCTTCTAAATATCATTTGATCCCAGTAGGCTATCATGCCTTCCACAACTCACTTGTACCCCCACGCTACTAGTTGCGCTTGGTTTAGCTTTCTCTTTCGACTGATGCAGAAGCTTCTTCCCTTAACTATATTGCCCTGCCTGCCTATCTAATCCTAGCTTCATTCTCTACGCTGCATTATTTTTGTAACAATAGTTTCAAGCATGCTATTGGCAGTTTTTATCAGTAGTTTCTTTTGCGAAAGCATTTGATGCGCAACCTCCTCAAAACATTGCAAATAATTTTGATGAGCACGCATCAAATACAAATTTCTGATTGCAGTCAACGCAAAGCACTTTCATCTGCTGGTATGTAATTCAGCAAATTGGTGTTTAGAAAAGAGCACAAACATCTTCCCCAACTGTGTAACTGTGTAGGTTGTGGAACAATCGAGTCGACTCACCAAATACTCTTTATAAGGAAGCCAGCATCACTTTTCTATTTTCGTCCGCTATTCATCAAATGTTGAAAAACGACGCAGCTTATAAAATTGCTAAGAGAGCCAAGAAAGCCACTGAAGAAGAGGCAAACAAGGAATCAAACAAAAAGGTTATCAAGAAAATGCCAACGAATGCAGAGGAGATAGCCTTGAAGAAAAAAAACAAAAAGCACGCAAACAACGTAGCCGCTCTATAACAAAGTCTCAGATGATGAAGAAGAGCGCAAAGACTGCACATGCGAAAGCCATCAAGTACATCAATGAGCTGGAGAAACGGAATAGGCAAGCTGTAACCCAGCCTAATGCTTCGCTGAACGACAACACTAAACAACTTGTCCATGCAAACGGAGCATTTCATTTTGACGATGACAGCATCGACCATGGCTTCGACTACATAGAGCCTTCTAACCAGCGTTATGGTTTCACAACCATTTTCAGACAAAAAAAACAAAGGAGAATTAGAAAAGACTTTTGGGCTCAAGAAAGTGTCTCGCTCAAGAAGTGGTATCTTGAATCTCACGAGATTCATGGCCATGCTGACCCTACCCTCAAAGTCCCAAATCAATTGAAAAGCACATATCAATGCGACTGCAGCAATAAGAAAACATTGGAGGTATATTGTTATATGCTACACAGTAAGTAAATTTAGTGAAACTCCAAATATTACACAAGCTAAACTGACACTTGATTTGCAGACCATCAAAAAATCAAAGTTGATTATTGTATGCATCAACCAATCCTAAAGAAATTGGTATTGATGCAAATGTTGCCAAGCAGCACAATTCAACCAAAAGCTGCGGTCCATTTCGCCGTCTTTGAAAAACTGATGAGCTTGAAGCTACATGGAAGCATTACAAATTATGCATTCGTGAAGACGCAGAATGTTGATAATCTCTTGTTGAGTAACTATGGTGAAAACGACGTAAGTTAAATGCTGCAGACCATT